TCAATATCATTACACAATTATATATCAGTATAATTCATTTTAATTTTGCTTTTTTTGCAACGTGCCCGGTATTTGTTTCATCAGAGCTACTATCAATATCCGTTTCTTCTTCGCTCTCATCTAAAAGGCAAATTGATTAAATCGCCGGCAAAATTAAAATGAATTATACTGATATATAATTGTGTAATGATATTGATCGATTGAAATTTATTGTCATTTTTGTCATATGAATAGAAGTTTTTGTATGAATAAAAATTATTATTATCAAATAAGCTATAACAAATAATTTATCCAATACAAGAGTACGTTAATAAATATCGCTGAAAAAAAGGAAACATTAAAAGTCAATTTTACTAGATTTCCAATGACTTGAATTATTTATAAACATTACCATTGTTAATTATTTTTCAATACCTTTAAAATAAAAAAAAATTCAACTCTCTAGGTGCATCGGAAGCTGAGATATCGAAAATTTTTACAGCGCAAACAATTTTGAAACGTAAGATTTAATTTTTGTCGCGCGAGAGCTGGCCTCGAGCGAGCTTCCCCCTCCCTCGTCGCATAGACTGTCGCTAGAGCAGCATTAATTGATGCGATATTCAACATATTATAATTACAATAATAATCATATTTGAAAGTTGCAAATAATCGCATCTGAAACTTTAGTTTTCCATTGATAATATGTATAAATTTCAGTTATTAATATAAACAATTACGGTAGCAGTGATTTTTAAAAAAAAAAATCCTAACTCGCTTCCTATTGCACTTAGAGAAGTGTATTTTTTTTTAAAATTTGCAGAAAAATGTCAGTTTTCCGTTTCTGAAGTTTTTATTTTTGTGTAGCATTTATTCAGCTAGCAAAACTTATTTGTTTATACTTTTTTTTTAAGGCTTTTTATTTGTTCATTTTTCGAGCAGTAAATAATAAAAATATGTTATTATTATCATAGATTACAAAAATAGAAGTAATTACCTTTAATTTAAGCCCGCCCAGATCCTTTTGCGATGTCTGTAAGTCGCTTTTTTTGTTATTGACAATTGAGGTGTTTTTAATAAACAAATTGAATAACTCGATAAATAATGCACTTAGCGCAAAAATGAAAAAAGCGTTTTGTTCGTCATGACAAGAGCTTCATATCCCTAGAGTTTCGTTACCCTAGCTTTATTTATTGCAAACTTATAAACAATTGAAAAAAACGGTCATATTTTGAGGTTTTTTGGAGCTATCGGATAAACAAATTAACCGATTTTGACGTTCTCTATCTCAAATTAAAGGTCTTGCAAAGATCTACAACTTTTGTTTGAAACTTTTTTTCATACAACGTACCGTTTTCAATCTGTAGTCAAAAAACCGATTTTTCGTCATTTCAAAGGGCCCAATTGTTTATATTCCAATCGACTCAACTGTGGCATTTGTTATTACTTCATTCCTAACATCGAAACCTAACGAATCCCGGTGAGAAACTCCGGTTGCGAATTTTTTCACTTTTAACATAGAGTCAGATCTAATTGGACTGGACTAAGCCGATTAAGCGAAGAGAGACTCGCGCGCTCGATATGAGAACAGAGCGAAACTTAGAACGCGTTTTTCTTGAAACCATTTTTTTCAACTGATACCAAAACGTATTGCTGCGGTTGAATAGAAACAATGAGTATTGATATCTTTTACTTCAAATCGTGGGTGTATAAGAAATAAAATCAAAATTCAATTTTAAACTGATTTATTTACATGATATAGAAAATGTGATTCACAATTAATATCATAAGACATAAAAAAATAATGCAAATTATGCTGATGAACATTGAGAGCTTTGGCTTTCCGTCGCGACGCAAACATAATATAAATCTTGGTTCATCAGGCGCTCAATGATCATATCGCAGCAGAGAATCGGCAGTGGGTAGCGCGTCAGTTTGAGAAACGGACCGTGTGCCCATTGCCGAAAAAATCCTCTCGACATTATCTCGCACAGATGCAAGCAACAATGTCCGAAGCATCGTTCATGGTTCTTTATGCTTCTCAAACGCGACAACTCATGTAGCAGTCTGAACATGTGAGTAGTTTCGTCGCTTTTTCGGGTCGCGAACGGACCAGTTCGTATAGAGCGACAGTGTCAGTTTTGCTTCTCTCAAAAAGTTCCACACTTCCTCCTCGCGATCATCGAAATCTTCTTTCTCTCCACTCATGACAATGATAACAACCGCTTGCTTCATCCGCGTCGAAAAGATATTCAAATCGTATCTCGTCTTCATACGAATGTATTTTAGGATTCGCTGACTTCTCGAACAATTCGTACTTGGCGAAAATGTTCATGATCGTCATGGCTTCGCTTCCTTCCAACTCATATCCTCTTTTGTCAAGTCGCTCGACAACGGCCAACAGGCCAGACGCTAGTCTCAATTGTTTGGTAGCATATATCCAATTTGTCGGGTTAAATACCTCTTCGAAATAACTCTGAGAGGGAAAAACGAAGCTAGACAGATCTGCACCATGATTCAGCAGTAAATCGACAGTATTGGGCCAGAGATTCAGCAAGGTTTGATCCAACTCATCCCGGGCGTTGACCTGCACTGTCTGCTGAATGTCGTCGATAACCTTAAAGAACCGCACTGCCAACTCTTCGTCGTTCCCTTGCAAATAATTTGCAAAGCAGTTCGTCCCGCGAAGCCGACGAGAAGGGAAAAGTGACGACTCTATCAAAAGTTGTCGGTTCGCGTGTTATACACTTGTGTTCTAGATACTCGTGTATGTATACATGGTAGCCGAGGCAAATATGGTATAAGCGACGACGAGTCAAAGCTCGAAATTTTGATGAGCATATTTTCCGTCACTTTTCATTTTTATACTTTTGTCGAATGAATAACAGTTTGAAAAGCTTTATTGTTCATGACAATGGTTGTCTAAATTACATAGCGTATAACCCGTTAGATTACACATTTTAAATCAATTTCATACTTCTAAGGTTTGTTTTCCTTATGTACTGCATTAAAGTGATTTTCGAGACGCTTCTTGCTGCTAAATGACCAGTGGCAAGTCTAACATTCAAATTTTCTCTGTCCATGAGCTGACTTTACGGGAGATTTGAGTACACTAGGGTATACAAATGATTTGTGACAAATATCACACTCAAAGGGTTAACTCCGAGGATGTACTGTATTGATGTGTTTCTTGAGATCACTTTTGTATCCACATGGTTTTTGACAAATCTCACAATCTTTTGGTTGGATTATTTTGTAAAATTTTTTACCTTCAAATTCAACATTAGTACATACACTTCTTAGATGGAACTACTTCACTTGTTTCATATTCAATGAAATTTTTACATGTGTATATAAAAATCGTACAACTGTTCTTACACAGCTGATTTTTGTTAACTGTTAACTATATGAGTCTTTTGTTTGTATGTCTCTGAGGAAACACCTTTTATTTTTATTTCAATAAAGCAAACTGAATGATTCAATGATTTGAAAAAATGACAATTTTCATATTCTTATGACTTGTCGAAATTTTTATTCTATCCAATGATAATTTATTAGTAATATAAGCACTTATTTTTTGAGTTTAATTGAAAAAAGCTTCCTCAATGAGGAAGCAAAAATGTTTAGTCATTCAATTAACAAAGAATGCGCTACACAGAGGTATAATATAGTAGTAAAATTATTAGATAGAGCTTTTTTATCAACCTTTGCAATTGTTAAATCTTTGCATGCGTCAAATTTGGGAAACTTCTAAGGTTTGTTTTCCTTATGTACTGCATTAATGTGATTTCCGAAACAATTCTTGGTACTAAATAACTCGTGACAAGTCTAACATTCAAATTTTCTCTGTCCATGAGCTGACTTTACGTGAGATTTGAGTACACTAGGATATCCAAATGATTTGTGACAAATATCACACTCAAAGGGTTAACTCCGAAGATGTACTGTTTTGATGTGTCTCTTGAGATTACTATTGCGTCCAAATGAGTGATTACAAATCTCACACTCAAAGGGTTTGCTCCGATTATGTACTACACTTATATGTCTTTTAAGGTCACTTTTTAGTCCAAATGATTTGTGACAAATATCACACTCAAAGGGTTTGCTCCGATTATGTGCTGCACTTATATGTCTTTTAAGGTCACTTTTTTGTCCAAATGCTTTGTGACAAAACTCACACTCGAAGGGTTTACTGAGAAAATGTACAACATTTATGTGTTTTTTGAGGGTACCTTTTTCTCCAAATGATTTGTGACAAATTTCACACTCAATGGATTCGCTCTGATCATGTACTATTTTTCTGTGTCTAATGAGACTACCCTTGCATGAAAATGATTTTTGACAAATCTCGCACTCAAAGGGTTTGCTTTGCAAATGTACTACATATCTGTGATTATTAAGCTGACCTCTATGTCCAAATGATTTGTGACAAATCTCGCACTCAAAGGGTTTGCTCTGATTATGTACTACACTTATATGTCTTTTAAGGTGATATTTTAGTCCAAATGCTTTGTCACAAAACTCACACTCAAAGGGTTTGCTCTGATTATGTACTACATTCACGTGACGCTTGACTTCATCCCTGTATCCAAATGATTTGTGACAAATTTCACACTGGAAAGGTTTGATTTTATCATGTACTTGATTCACGTGCCCTTTAAGTTTACTTGGATTTCTAAACGATTTATGGCAAATTTCACATTCGTGTGGTCCATTGCCCTTGTGTGTCGTTTTCATTTGTCTCGTTGAAGTCGCTTCTTCTCTGGTAAATTTACGATTACTATCGTAATTGAATCCTTTTTTAATTAAAATTGTAAGCCTTTTCCCATTCAAGTCATTTGTTGGATTTTCTTCCTTAACAGTAGCTAGGCAGATGGTCGTCAATGAGAGCTTAGGTTCAAGTTTTACATTTTCGGTCTCCAATTCGATCAAAATTTCTTCCTGTAACGGCATCGAGTCTTTAAAATTGTTTATAGTTTTTTCATGGTGGAAATCCGAACATAAATTCAAAAGATAGATCATACCGATGATTCACTCATCGATGATTCATCAGAGTTTTCAGTTTTCACCGAGAACCCCGGATCAACACTCACGTCGGCTACATCTTCGCAATTGTCACGAGGCTCCTCTTTCATCATAGAGTCATTAGTGGGATTTGCCTAAAATTAAAATTGTGTTATAGTTTTTTCATGGTCTAAAACCGAATATAAATTCAAAAGATAGATCTTACCGATAATTCACTCGTCGATGATTCATCAGTGTTTTCAGTTTTCACCGAGAACCCCGGATTTTCCTTCTTTACAGTAGCTTGGCAGATGGTCGTCAATGAGGGCTTAGGTTCAAGTTTTACATTTTCGGTCTCCAATTCGATCGAAATTTCATCCTGTAACGGCATCGAGTCTTTAAAATTGTTTATAGTTTTTTCATGGTGGAAATCCGAACATAATTTCGAAAAATGGACTCACCGATGACTCATTCGAAGATGATTCTTCAGAGTTTTCAGTTTTCACCGAGATCCCCGGATGCACACTAACGTCGGCTACATCTTCGCAATTGTCACGAGGCTCCTCTTTCATCATAGAGTCATTAGTGAGATTAGCCTAAAATTAAAATTGTGTTATAGTTTTTTCATGGTCTAAAACCGAATATAAATTCAAAAGATAGATCTTACCGATAATTCACTCGTCGATGATTCATCAGAGTTTTCAGTTTTCATCGAGAACCCCGGATTTTCCTCCTTTACAGTAGCTTGGCAGATGGTCGTCAATGAGGGCTTAGGTTCAAGTTTTACATTTTTGGTCTCCAATTCGATCGAAATTTCATCCTGTAACGGCATCGAGTCTTTAAAATTGTTTATAGTTTTTTCATGGTGGAAATCCGAACATAATTTCGAAAATTAGACTCACCGATGACTCATTCGACGATGATTCTTCAGAGTTTTCAGTTTTCACCGAGAACCCCGGATTTTCTTCCTTTACAGTAGCTTGGCAGATGGTCGTCAATGAGGGCTTAGGTTCAAGTTTTACATTTTCGGTCTCCAATTCGATCGAAATTTCATCCTGTAACGGCATCGCGTCTTTAAAATTGTTTATAGTTTTTTCATGGTGGAAATCCGAACATAATTTTGAAAAATGGACTCACCGATGACTCATTCGAAGATGATTCTTCAGAGTTTTCAGTTTTCACCGAGATCCCCGGATGCACACTAACGTCGCCTACATCTTCGCAATTGTCACGAGGCTCCTCTTTCATCATAGAGTCATTAGTGGGATTAGCCTAAAATTAAAATTGTGTTATAGTTTTTTTATTGTGTAAATCCGAATATGAATTCAAAAGATAGATCTTACCGATGATTCACTCGTCGATGATTCATCAGAGTTTTCAGTTTTCCCCGAGAACCCCGGATTTTCTTCCTTGACACTAGTTTGGCAGATGTTCGTTGATGAGGGCTTAGGTTCAAGTTTTACATTTTCGGTCTCCAATTCGATCGAAATTTCATCCTGTAACGGCATCGAGTCTTTAAAATTGTTTATAATTTTTTCATGGTGGAAATCCGAATATAATTTCGAAAAATTGACTCACCGATGACTCATTCGAAGATGATTCTTCAGAGTTTTCAGTTTTCACCGAGATCCCCGGATCCACACTCACGTCGGCTACATCTTCGCAATTGTCACGAGGCTTCTCTTTCATCATAGAGTCAATAGTGGGATTAGCCTAAAATTAAAATTGTGTTATAGTTTTTTTATTGTGTAAATCCGAATATAAATTCGAAAGATAGATCTTACCGATAATTCACTCGTCGATGATTCATCAGTGTTTTCAGTTTTCACCGAGAACCCCGGATTTTCCTTCTTTACAGTAGCTTGGCAGATGGTCGTCAATGAGGGCTTAGGTTCAAGTTTTACATTTTCGGTCTCCAATTCGATCGAAATTTCATCCTGTAACGGAATCGAGTCTCTAAAATTGTTTATAGTTTTTTCATGGTGGAAATCCGAACATAATTTCGAAAAATGGACTCACTGATGACTCATTCGTCGATGATTCTTCAGAGATTTCAGTTTTCACCGAGATCCCCGGATCAACACTCTCGTTGGCTACATCTTCCCAATTGTCGCGAGGCTCCCCTTCAACACTAAAGAAACGATCGTTTAAAAATATATCTTTGACATGCATGAAAAAGTGTATACCTAACTAAATCCTTCCTGCTTTCCATTGCTTTGTTAGAATGATTTATCCTTAAATTATTCAAAATTAGATGCCTCGAGTAGCCAACACCTAATCTTATCTTCACCAATAAACTTGAACGGATATTATTGTAAACACAGCAGGAAATGATTAATAGCGACTGAGCGTAAACAGTTTTGTACAAGGATAAGTAGCCACTGACTAGTAAATAATATTATACCCAGATCGTAATGAAAATATCATTCACTTAGGCGTACAATTAGTTTACACGAACGGATAATATGTGCGAAGAAACAATAGCGCAAAAAGTATCTTTCGGTTTACTAACCACCGAGAGTATTTAAAAACGTCGAAAAATCAACCAACGTCTCAGGCTTTAGAGGCTGTTAATCCTTCAATGTTTCAACTTATAATTATCCGCATTTTAATTAATAATATACTAAAAATGTAATTTTATAATAAGAAAAGTATTCTTGTCTATGAAAAGCTGTCGAATGAATAAACATTTTGAAAATTTTATATAATATTTCTTTGATACTTTTGTGGTCAGTTAAGGGCTTATATACACCTCAAACTTAAAATTTTTTTTATGGAAATTTCGAGCAGGATTTTTCTTCCTCTTTCCATGTCATCATTCAAAATTTCAAAATGTTGATTCTCTACCGAGATACAGTTATTTCCGTAAACCTTTTTTCTTATATTACACCTGTTAAATTTTTTCTTTTTCATCGTTTTCTGAAAAGACGTGTTTTTGGTCACCTGTCGCAATATTTAGAGGGTTAATCATACATCTGAGCCAAGTGATGATGTTTTAAATGCATATGAGTTATTCTGACTAACTTTTAAAATAACGCCTCAGAAAATTTTTGATGAAAAATCAAGCTGCACAGTACCAGGAGTGAATTTTTCTTGAAGATTATCAACAGAGGATCCCAAAAATAACTTTGGGCTATATTTTTCTCCATAGTCCACTGGGGAAACCCGATTTCAATTTGGGTCAAAATAAAACTTCTTTAAATTTTAGAATGACACCGATTCAGACGTGCTTTCGATATGTACATGGTAAAAAAATCCTAAAACCAAAATTCTAGATCCCATCCCCCCTCCTACCCTTTCCTCCCCTATAAACGTCCATTTTCTATTCATATTCATTCTGAAACCCTGAAGTAATTGAAAAATCTTAAAAAAATTCATAAAAGTACATATCAACAAAACTAATCACCTTGAATTTTTTCAGATTTTTTGAGTGCTTCAGGCCTTCAGATAAAATAATTAAAAATTTGGAAAATTTATATACAGCGGTATGAGCCTAAATCAAACTCGAAAAATTTTTTCTCTGTTTTATCGCATTGAAAAACATGACCTTAAATTTCTTTGGATTTTTTAAAATTGCCTTATGCACGTTTTGAAGCAAAAAACCCTCTTTTTTAATAAAAATAGGTTGTAGAAGCATGAGCTTCGAATGCAAGAATTTTGAAAAAATATTTCTATATTTCTTGATGAAAATTTTAGAACTTTTTTTTTGTAATTTTTTATTTCGTCCTTCCTAGTCTATTGGGGAACATTATTCGAATTCATAAAAAACACATAATTTACATTTAATACTCAAAACAGCGCAACCTTTGAATAGACATAGTTTTACTTATCGGGCATCTGCAGACCTCCGGTAGGGCGCATTTTGAAGGTCTTCAAATCAACTTTCATGTGACATTACTTATATCATGCCGCGCAGAGCCGAAATAGTACATTACGTCGCTGTTAATCATGAGCTAATTAATCATGAGCTAGTTAATCATGAGCAAATGAATATCGCCGTTGGTGAAGCTGAAAATTGGGAGAACAAAAAGTTTCGATTAGACCCGATTTATTCAACAATGCTAAAGGTGGGAAGTGGGCGCTAAGCTTAATAATTTCTGTGGATTTATTTATAAATGTACATATTATTTTTAATAAACTCAAACCGTACAATGATGTGATTATGTGAGGTTTTTATCTGCATGAGACAAGTTCAGATGAACGCGGATAGATTCGCTAGCAATTTTTTTACTTTGTTCAACTGAAAATAATTCATTATTTTCTTTTTCATAAACATCAAATAATATGATGAAAATAGTAACTATTTTATTCTTAGTAATTATTTTTTCGTTAACATTTTTATCGATAGAATTTTCATCACTTTCAGACATACTTTCATTATCATTATTTTTCCAAATTTTCATTTGACTTAATTGCGCAGTGGATTCGAAATTTCTATCGTCGTAGATTAAGTCGTAGAGTGACAGAGTCGGAATCACCATTGTATTTTTCGCTAATGTCATGAAATCCTTCTCTTCCTTTGCACGATATCTTCTCTCTTGCTCCTCATCATCATAACCATAGCCATATGGCATGGCTTCCTCCTCACGATAATCAAGATAATCAAATCTTCTCACGTCCTCCTCCTCATCGTAATCATAGCCAAGTGGTATATCTTCCTCCTCATAATAACGATAATCAAACTCCTCGTCGACATAGCTAAATTTATTAGGATCCACAGATTCTTCGAACAACTCGTACTTGGCGAATACTTTTATCATCGTCATTGCATCGCTTCGATTAAGTTCGTATCCTCTTTTCTCAAGTCTCTCGACGACGGCCAATAGGCTACACGCTAGTCTCAATTTTTTGGTATCATATGTCCAATTGATCGGGTTATATCCTGCGTCGAAACAACTCTGAGAGGGAAAAACGAAGCTAGACAGATCTGCACCACGATCCAGGAGTAAATCGACGGTATTCGGCCAGAGATTCCACACGGCCCATTTTAGCGGCGTTTGACCCAACTTATCCCGGACATTGACCTGAATTGTTTGCTGAACGTCATCGATGACCTTGAAGAACAGCACTGGCAAGTCTTCACTGTCTTCGTCCCTCTTGCAAATAATCTGCAAGGCGTTCTGTCTATCCCTGTCAGTCAAATCTGGGTCAGCGCCGTTTCTTAGAAGCAATTCGGCTACCTCTTCGATGTCTTCTTGAACGAATCGCAATGCCAAATGCAATAGTGTTATACCTTCGTTGTCTCGGACGTTGACTTGCACCTTCTGCTGGATTTCGTTGCAAACCTCGAATAACATATTAATATTGCCGCAATCATAAGCGCGATTTCGGCAAATATAGAGTAGAGGTGTCAGTCCATCCTTGTTGACTGAATTCGGGTCGACGCCTCTTCTCAGCAGCAGTAGTGCCACCTCCGTGCGGCCCCAGACTAGAGCCGAATGTAACGGCGAATCATTCATTTTTGGCACGAGGAGATTGGGATCTTGACCGTGCTCGAGAAACAGTTCAACAACGTCATCGAAGCCGTACTCGCAGGCCACGTGGAAATGCGTCAATTCATCTTCGTCGGAGTAATTCACGTCGAACCTATTGTATATTGCGAATAAAGCCAAAATCTCGTAGCGGTCGATGTCTCCGTGTCTGTAGGCATGATGTAGCGGCGTGGCGAGACGAGCCACGGGCTCGCCGTTTTCATCGACGTAGGGCTCGTCTCGGTAGCCACTGCGAATCACAAAGTCTATGAACGTTTCTGCGTTATGAAAGAATCGATTCGTTTTGTTTGTTACGAACTGCGTAAGAAGCCAGTCCATTTTTTTCTTTCCAAAAAGGGCTGCGAGATTAGGGAGTTCGCCCTTCCAATTTTTGATCATGTTGAAAAATTGATGGCGAAATTATTGTTTGTCCTCTTCGATGTCCCAATTCACTTTGACACCCATTCGCATCAATTTTGCCACGTCGTTTTGAATGTCTTGAAATAATTTTCACTTTTTTTTTCACAAAATCCACTAGCTGCAGTCGATACGATTTTTCTCTGCTCGCGCAACGGCGTCGTAAAGCGTACTGAATGTGCGCGAGATCGAACTATGTATGGGTCGTTATTTGGCCGACGAACACGCACGAACGCGCACAGCGCGAGCGAGGCAAGCGGGAGCGAGAGAGACAGAGATATTCATATATACCGCAGACGTTACAAAGGCGGTATGTAGACGCCGCCGCAGAAGCGAGCGAAAAGACTCCTTGGACAAGAGTGACAGCCAATCGCAGCGATCGAATTTAATTCATCATTACAATAATTTAACTTGCGTTAGTTCTTGTTTCTGAGGTTATGAAAATGATCGAGACAATCCACAAATCAAAATTTCAATCGTTATTATGGTAAATTTGGTGGGTAAATTTTCATTAAAAATGTAAAAAAAAGGTTTTTTACTTAAAAACGTTCTGTAATCTTGTAAAAATACTCGGCAAAAAAACTGAAATTCCTAAAAAATAATGATAAAAGTAATTTTTATCTTCACGATGTAATTTCATGTTACAAAATCGCTGCTCAAAATTGTTAGAAATACACGACTATCGTTGAAAAAATATTGAAATAAAACGAAAATATCAACGAAATCGAAAAGTTATTAAACGTTACATTTTCAGTGATTTTCTCCATAGACATTAATCAGAAGTGTAATATCGAATAACTTTTCGTTTTGGTTGGATTATTTTGTAAAATTTTTTACCTTCAAATTCAACATTAGTACATACACTTCTGAGATGGAACTACTTCAATTGTTTCATATTCAATAAAATGTTTACATGTGTATATAAAAATCGTACAACTGTTCTTACACAGCTGATTTTTGTTAACTGTTAACTATATGAGTCTTTTGTTTGTATGTCTATGAGGAAACACCTTTTATTTTTATTTCAATAAAGCAAATTGAATGATTCAATGATTTGAAAAAATGACAATTTTCATATTCTTATGACTTGTCGAAATTTTTATTCTATCCAATGATAATTTATTAGTAATATAAGCACTTGTTTTTTGAGTTTAATTGAAAAAAGCTTCCTCAATGAGGAAGCAAAAATGTTTAGTCATTCAATTAACAAAGAATGCGCTACACAGAGGTATAATATAATCGTAAAATTATTAGATAGAGCTTTTTTATCAACCTTTGCAATTGTTAAATCTTTGCATGCGTCAAATTTGGGAGACTTCTAAGGTTTGTTTTCCTTATGTACTGCATTAATGTGATTTTCGAAACAATTCTTGGTACTAAATAACTCGTGACAAGTCTAACATTCAAATTTTCTCTGTCCATGAGCTGACTTTACGTGAGATTTGAGTACACTAGGATATCCAAATGATTAGTGACAAATATCACACTCAAAGGGTTAACTCCGAAGATGTACTGTTTTGATGTGTTTCTTGAGATAACTATTGCGTCCATATGAGTGATTACAAATCTCACACTCAAAGGGTTTCCTACGAAGGTGTACTAACTCAATATGGGCTGTGAGGTGACTTTTTTGTCCAAATGATTTATTACAAATCTCACACTCGAAAGGTTTGCTCCGATTATGTACTACACTTATATGTCTTTTAAGGTCACTTTTTAGTCCAAATGCTTTGTGACAAAACTGACATTCAAAAGGTTTGTTGCGTTCGTGGACTATACTTGCGTGCTTTTTGAGACCACTTTTTCGTGCAAATGATTCATGACAAATATCACACTCAAAGGATTTACTCCGAAGGTGTACTTCCTTAATATGAACTGTGAGGTAACTTTTTCGTCCAAATGATTTTCGACAAAACTCACACTCAAAGGGTTTCCTACGAAGGTGTACTAACTCAATATGGGCTGTGAGTTGACTTTTTTCTCCAAATGATTTTCGACAAAACTCACACTCAAAGGGTTTGCTCTGATTATGTACTGCACTTATATGTCTTTTTAAACGACTTTTTAGTGCAAATGCTTTGTGACAAAACTGACACTCAAAAGGTTTGCTGCGTTCATGGACTATACTGATGTGAATTTTGAGATTATCTTTTCGTGTAAATGATTCATGACAAATATTACACTCAAAGGGTTTGCTCTGATTATGTACTGCATTCACGTGATTTTTGAGGTCATATTTTCGTCCAAATGATTTGTGACAAATTTCACACTGGAAAGGTTTGATTTTATCATGTACTCGATTCACGTGCGCTTTAAGTACACTTGGTTTTCTAAACGATTTATGACAAATTTCACATTCGTGTGGTCCATTGCCCTTGTGTGTCGTTTTCATTTGTTTCGTTGAAGTCGCTTCTTCTCTGGTAAATTTACAATTACTATCGTAATTGAATCCTTTTTTAATTAAAATTGTGAGTTTTGTCCCATTTAAGTTATTTGTTGGATTTTCTTTCTCTCTAGTAGTTTGGCCGATGGTCGTCAATGAGGGCTTAGGTTCAAGTTTTACATTTTCGGTCTCCAATTCGATCGAAATTTCATCCTGTAACGGCATCGAGTCTTTAAAATTGTTTATAATTTTTTCATGGTGGAAATCCGAATATAATTTCGAAAAATGGACTCACCGATGACTCATTCGAAGATGATTCTTCAGAGTTTTCAGTTTTCACCGAGATCCCCGGATCCACACTCACGTCGGCTACATCTTCGCAATTGTCACGAGGCTCCTCTTTCATCATAGAGTCATTAGTGGGATTAGCCTAAAATTAAAATTGTGTTATAGTTTTTTTATTGTGTAAATCCGAATATAAATTCGAAAGATAGATCTTACCGATGATTCACTCGTCGATGATTCATCAGAGTTTTCAGATTTCACCGAGAACCCCGGATTTTCTTCCTTGACAGTAGTTTGGCAGATGTTCGTTGATGAGGGCTTATGTTCAAGTTTTACATTTTCGGTCTCCAATTCGATGGAAATTTCATCCTGGAACAGAATCGAGTCTTTAAAATTGTTTATAGTTTTTTCATGGTGGAAATCCCGAACATAATTTCGAAAAATGGACTCACCGATGACTCATTCGACGATGATTCTTCAGAGTTTTCAGTTTTCACCAAGAACCCCGGATCAACACTCACGTCGGCTACATCTTCGCAATTGTCACGAGGCTCCTCTTTCATCATAGAGTCATTAGTGGGATTTGCCTAAAATTAAAATTGTGTTATAGTTTTTTAATGATGGATATCGAACATAAATTCCAAAGATAAATCTTACTGATGATTCACTCGTCGATGATTCATCAGATTTTTCAGTTTTCACCGAGAACCCCGGATTTTCCTCCTTTACAGTAGCTTGGCAGATGGTCGTCAATGAGGGCTTAGGTTCAAGTTTTACATTTTCGGTCTCCAATTCGATCGAAATTTCATCCTGTAACAGAATCGAGTCTTTAAAATTGTTTATAGTTTTTTCATGGTGGAAATCCGAACATAATTTCGAAAAATGGACTCACTGATGACTCATTCGTCGATGATTCTTCAGAGATTTCAGTTTTCACCAAGAACCCCGGATCAACACTCTCGTTGGCTACATCTTCCCAATTGTCGCGAGGCTCCCCTTCAACACTAAAGAAACGATCGTTTAAAAATATATCTTTGACATGCATGAAAAAGTGTATACCTAACTAAATCCTTCCTGCTTTCCATTGCTTTGTTAGAATGATTTATCCTTAAATTATTCAAAATTAGATGCCTCGAGTAGCCAACACCTAATCTTATTTTCACCAATAAACTTGAACGGATATTATTGTAAACACAGCAGGAAATGATTAATAGCGACTGAGCGTAAACAGTTTTGTACAACGATAAGTAGCCACTGACTAGTAATTAATATTATACCCAGATCGTAATGAAAATATCATTCACTTAGGCGTACAATTAGTTTACACGAACGGATAATATGTGCGAAGAAACAATAGCGCAAAAAGTATCTTTCGGTTTACTAACCACCGAGAGTATTTAAAAACGTCGAAAAATCAACCAACGTCTCAGGCTTTAGAGGCTGTTAATCCTTCAATGTTTCAACTTATAATTATCCGCATTTTAATTAATAATATACTAAAAATGTAATTTTATAATAAGAAAAGTATTCTTGTCTATGAAAAGCTGTCGATCGTTTTGAAATAACGAAATGAATAAACATTTTGAAAATTTTATATAATATTTCTTAGATACTTTTGTGGTCAGTTAAGGGCTTATTACGCACACAAATTTTTTAGAACTTTTTTTAATTTTTCATTTCGTCCTTCCTAGTCTATTGGGGAACATGATTCGAAATTTCTTTCGTGACATTTGTTTAACTTTTTAATTCTATAGGTATCGTTAAGCAATATTTCAACCACGACCAAAGGACCACCGAAGAGTTGTTGCAATTTACATGAATTACCGGTCGCCATCTGCCTTTTCATTTCTGCATTAGCCAACTTGGCTTCTAACTCCTCGACCTTTTCATTCATCACTCACTATAATGAACACAAACTAACTCGGAAACAAAAGAAAAAAATTTCCAAACTGTTCTTCCTTTAAAATCCGATCTCGGGACCACCGGAATATCTCCTTTCTGCTTCCTGTCCCCTGGTTTGCGTGGCCCAACAGGTTTAGGAGCCTCTTTACAAGGTTGTTCCATCTCAATAGGGCGATCTGGATCTATAATTTCCTCAATTTGAGCTTGTTCCTCTTTCGACGGTACCTCTGGATCATCAAAGAAGCCGTAATCATCGCCTGTGTTTAGGTCTGGATCATTTATTAAGATTTTTCGATCCTTATCGATAATTCTTTTGGCTCCGGTTGTAGAATTCAGAGCTTCTATTTCCTTTCCTCAAGAGCTTGATGACTGCGTGAAACATTTGCGCGTACAAGTACGCGTGGTTGTTCTCAAGTTTTTTATCAACTTGGCCTGGCAACGGAGACCTTATACTTTTATATAGGTAAAAATCTCTCGTTCTCTCATTTCTCGAGAGGCATTAATTGAGAAAAGTTTAATCGCCATGTAGTAGCTGCAGCAGTATATCGCCCCGGCGTATCGACTGGCAATCTGTCCGCGTAAACCTCGAACTCGCAAACTCTGTCTTTTTCTCTCTTACGTACCCTTTAAATACATATATTCTTATATACCTATATTTGGGGAGAAAAAAGGCCTAAGCAAATACATTTACATGGGTGTGTAGCGAGGGAGCACCTACGCCACAGAAGCTGCTGCTGCTGCTGCTGTTGCACCGCTAATTGGACACACCGTGCACATCTCGAGAATTAAACGCCATTCCGCGCGCGCACACACACACACACACACATGTGTATGCGCTATGCAGTGTGCGCCTTGTGCGCGCATCGAACACACCGCGTATACGGTCGAAGAGTCAACTGTGAACTCGCGCGCGTACACGCGATTGTCGTGTTGTTTCTGTTTTGCCGATTATGTTTCGCGTGTATTTCGAGTCTACCATCAATATGAATTTTCTCGCGACATAGTCCGATGTGTTTTTTCGATAAGTATAATACCAAAACAAAGAATAGTTATAATTGATTCATAATTTTCTTTATAATTTGAATGTTATGCGATTATGAGATATTATTTTTCTTTCAATCCAACGTCGAAGAAAAAACTCGAGCGCGTTTTCCGCGTATAATTATATCGGTCGATTAGAATCTAGCCATGAACTTCGTATTGCGTTAATTGATTCATCTTTTGCATGGAAATCGAGCTCGAAAATCGCGAACATTATGTACGTACGAAATACAATCGACCTTCGCGCAACACAAGCTGAAAGAGATCGTTAAGGAATGAACAGTTTCATTATCGCGCGATTCGCGCGAGTTATGGCGCGCAGTTTTTTTCGTTACACTAAAAAAAAAAAAAAACAACAAATCTCGGTTGCACGAAAAAAATTCCCACAAGAAATACGCGCATAACGACGCTCCATAAAACTCGATCGTTTACGGCTGTATATTGGCAGCTTTTTCACTCGTGGAACGAAGAAAACGAAAAGAAACGTCGTTTTCGATGAAAATATAACGAAGCTGTCAGAAGTAGTCGAAAACAAAGTTACGCGTCACATGGACGCGCGGAATATTTGCCTCTAAACCACTGCAATAAGTACGCGTGTACACAACTATACACGCATTCTCCATTACTCGGGGCTAGGCGTGTTCGCTGTCGTCGTTTATGCGCTCGTATGCGCAGTTCTCTCTCTCTCTCTGTGGAGAGAGAACGAGCTCCACTCAATTATTTACCGTTAACATCGTACGCGTATGTATATACGCACTCACGATTATACGATATTTTTCAATGACCAAATAGCCACTGCATGATTTTTTTTTTTTTTTGCCTCTCCGCGCATTATCTATGTCACGCGCGTATTACAGCACGTATAATTATAAGCTCGCGCGCGCGCGCGCACGTGCATTGATTTTTGAGCGAGGCTTTAATCCCCAATAAATATAGCGTTCATTTTTCAATGTGCGCTCGTACACAAGCGCGAGAGTGAGCTAATTATCCGCGCGGTTGTGTATCGCTGTATTTAATAAAGAAAACGCAACGCAACGTAGATATATACTTCTAAATTGTTAAGGCGCCGAAGCGCGGCCCGCGCACCGTTTAAAGCTCGCGCGCGCCTACATAATATATCTTCCGCGCGAGTTAGAGCATGTTATGTACGCATTGTAACGTACATATACAGTACGCGATTATATAGATTTTTGCGGGGGCTTACTCTATTTTTCACGCTCGATAAAGCAATGCCATTTGTATGCATACGATGCGAGTTCGCATCGTGTCCAGCATCGGACGCTTTTGTGGATACAAAAAAATTTGCACGATGATACGGTCGAGCGTATATATACGTATTATATATATTTGGGACGCTGAGCCATTATCATTGATGTATTATATAGGCGTATTGCGCTGAAAAACGAGTATAAACAATACGAGCCATTACTGACTCGGTAAATACTCGAGCCGTGTAGCAGAGAGCCTGGAAATGCCAAGTTGTAAATTTAAGTAGCTTTGACAACTGTTTCTCGAGGAGTTTATAGGTATCTCTCTCTCTCTCTCTCTCTTTCTCTACACACATACGCACACCTATACCGACCGTTAAGTTAGCGCGCGAGTCTTATCGCGCGCGTTTAGCCACTGCACCAATACACACACACACATGCATATATAGAGAGACAGACAGACGTACAGTGTCATGAAAGTGCAGTTATAGCCGCCGAATGACGCGCTTAAAACTATTTGCCGATCGTACTTAATGTAAATGTGTGTGTGTGTGTGTCTCTATGTATTTACGCGTGGGTCGGACGGATTTTTTTCCTCTTCTTCTTCTTTGCGTTATATAGTAGTCGCAAGTCGAAACGATCTCGCGTCAGCTCGAGGCACCGCTACGTGACAAGCTCGAAAAAAGCTACGTATAGCCGTATCCTTGGATTTTGTCTTCGTCATTGCGCTCGGTGTTATAAAGTCTAACTCTATATAATACATAACGCGCAAACATCGAGAGCTTCGAAAAACAGATCCTGATTTTTTTTCCCCTTACTCGGTAATTAATTACCCGCTCGCGAATTCGATCGAAAAATCTTATAAAACGAGAATTTGAGTCGAGTATTTGCGATCGGTAATAATGACGAGAAAAAAAAAAAAATAAATAAAAAAGTGATGACTATTTACGCTCGAATTGCAGAAGTCGCGGTACTTCTTTCCAGGTACGATCACGTATAGCTATATATAGCATAGGCATAGCTGCCGCATGCACACGAGAGCTACTATATATATACAGGCGATTTCTCTCTAAGTTGCTGTCACGCAGCCGCGCGCGGGACTGGGTCAGTTAGGCACTTGCTTGTATTATACGAGCTTGTGCTTGTGTGCACTCGGTTAAGCAGCAGCTGCCGCCTCTTTTTTTCTTTTTTTAAATGTGTGTGTGTGTGTGTGCGTGTGCGCAGTATATGTACACAAATACGCAGAGGCAGCCCAGCGTCTATGCACTCGGAATACGCAATGGAATCCCTCAATTACTCGCGCGCTCTGTGTTTTTTGTTAATCGAATGGAACGAGGAGTTCTTGTCTGTCTATGTTAGTCTCTCTCTCTCTCTCGCGTAGAAAGTTTTCTCGCTCGCACGCTACACGCGAACAGCTATTCTGAGCTTTACATGCCGGCATAGCGAGTGCGCACGCGTAATTGATCCGAGGCTTATTTTTTTCGCCGCAGCTCTTCCTCGTTTTGCGATGGGGGAATCCTCTCTTACTTCCCTTATTATATGATTCTTCTGGGCAAACTTTTTTTCCTCAGTCGAATCGCGGATTGGCCCATTGATTCAAGTCTTATACAATTATTTTGACTTTGCCACTTGCAGATTTACAAATAAATGTACTCTCCATCTAGTGGTGGATGCTAGCGCTAAAATACACAGAAGAATAACCTCAAAAAAAAAATAATTCAAGACCCTGACTTATACAATTATTTTTACTTTGCTACTTGCAGATTTGCAGATAATGAAACTCGCCATCTAGCGATGAATGCCTCAAGTTATATTATCGTACTGGAAATGATTGAAAACGGGTTTCAACTTTTGGAAACGATTAAATTGTCATTTTCAGGTAGTTTAATATGCACTTAATATTTGAAACAGTTTCTAATAGAATATCAATCAAGTCGTTGAACTTGCCTTGATTTATACCATTACTTTGACTTTAGCAGTTGCAGATTTACAGATAAACGTACTTGCCATCTCGCGATGAAGGCTCAAAGTGCTATCATCTCATTTGAAGCGGTTAACTACTGACCTAAATGTTTTGAA